GGGCCAGACCCTGCTGCGGGGATCTGCCTTCTGGGCCCCGGCATGGGGTTGCCACCCCAGAAGCCATTGCACTAAGAGGGAGGCCACGACAGCTGGAAGGTGACAGCCGACGGCTCTGTGCCACGTGGGCTCGTCCCGGCAGCAGCTCCATCGAGGGTCCGGTCCACGTCCATTGTAGAGACTCGAGGAAGGAGACAGCCTTCCCGTGCTGCTTCGTGCTGTTTCCTGTCCCTGCTGACACTTACCTCTGGCGCCGTGGTGGCGGGGGTCCCGACGGGGCTGCCTCCGCTGGAGTGGGCGCCCGCTGTCTCCTGTCTGTGCTCCGAGGGCCGGGGGCAGGGAGTGCGAGGGGCTGTCGTGGACACTCGGCCCGGATTTTGGCGGCGGTGACAAGGGTGGACATGGTTTGTGCAGCCCTCTACGCTGAGTGGTGCGTGCGTGTACGTGTGTGCATGTGGTGTCTCATCGGTGGCATACGTCTCTTCTTGCTGTATCTCGTCTGTTTCAACGACAGAAGCCTTTGCTCTGAGAAACGTCGCAGCTCCCTGTCCTTCTGTTGGCAAGTGGCACTTTCTCCCGCTCCTGGTGCCTCCCAGGGCTTCCCGCCCAGGAGGGACCTTCACTCACCCGCTCTCGAGTTAGGTCGGTTTCCAGCCACTTTTAGGATCATCGAACCCTGTTTGCTTCAAAGGCGTGTTTGTCACATGTGCGACAGGATTGCGGTCCGGACGGCGTGGTGCCCGGAGGAAGTGCAGGCTCCCGGCCTCGCTGCGGCCTCCGGGCCCGGGGCTGCCTGACATCTGGGACCCCGTCTAGAGCCTGTGGAGGGGGCCCCTGGCCATGAAGCTCTAAGCTAAAACCTGGCAGAAAATTACACCCAAATTCTTTACAAATTATTTCGAGGCAACATTTGCTTTTCAGTGGCCACAGCACTTTCCTTTCTGTAGCCTGTGCTTGTTTCATAAACGCTCCACTGATGAATGGAGCATTGCTAAATGTTACACTGCTAAAGGCATCAGCCGCCGCCCGGGGCCACCTCAGGCTCAGGCTGTCTGCGCCCCACCCCACTGTTAGTAAGGTGTGCCTTGCTTGAAGCAAACTGAATGTGAAATGAAATGATGGTGTAGAAATCGGGATTCGTATCAAAGAAAAACGGGCATTTATCTTGTCTCTTTAAAAGAGCTCTCCAATTAGATGCTTCTGTTGGGACCCTTCGTAGCTGCTTGAAAATATTCTCTGAGGAAAATCAGCGCAGCCCCATTTCCTCACTTCTATCTGTCCCATTCGACAAGCCCCGCCCCAACTCCCCGCAGAGCCATCAAAGTCGCCATTTTGCAGAAGAGACCTTTGTGCCGCGTGCGCAGGGGGCCGGGCTTGGTGATTCGGTGAGGCTGGGCGAGCCTCTGCTTTTAGAAGGGGCGGCTCTGTCTCCGTTTGGGCCAGGTTTTCTGTCTGAGGGGCCCTCACGCAGACACTGACTCGCTGGCTGCGGCACAGAAGGGCCCCGCTTTTCTTGTCCCAGATCGCGTTGCTTCTTGGGGTTGCCCTCACGCTCCCCAGAGTGAATGTGTGCGCCCTGGACCCGCAACGGAGCCCTGGCTGCGGCCCCGGGAGGGAGCTGTTGGCCCAGTTCCGCGTGCGGCTAGGAGCGGGTGCCCGCTCCGTTCCTGCAGCAGGGGCGGGGGGCGGCGGCGCTGATGCGTGTTGTATGTTGTGTTTACTGTTGCTCAGTGCCGATGTTGCTGTTACTTTTGCCTTTCTGCTCTGGTTTGGTTTGGCCCGTGTGGGTGTCCTGGTGCACGTGGCACCTGATTTGTAAGCTAGAAGTCATTTTCCCAGCTTGTACGAGTCGCCTAAAGTTTACCTGCAGCTTTGCCGGCTGATTTATTTTTGAAAGCCACAAATGTAAGTTTTCTGGATGAATTGTTTTTCTTATATATGCAGCAATGTAATGTTACACTGATCTGCGGGGAGATTTAAATTTTCTTTTTGCAAGGCAGTTTTTCACTCAAATTATATATTTGATACAATATGTGAAGGGCGGACCAGCCAAGCGCCCTGCGGGGACTCAAATGTCCCCAAGGGCCTCTGGGGCCGGGACGGCTTGTCCGCCCTGAGTCCTGGAGGTGCTGGGCTTGTTCTGGGGGGCTTTTAAGATCTGGGGTCCTGGGCGGGACTTTGAGTGGATGGACAGTTAAAGGATTTTCATGGGCATTTCCCTACACACTAAGGCGGTTCCAGTCGGAGGAACTTTAGAAGTTGGCATGACCCCAACCGTGGACAATCCCAGTGGCCTGGACAAGCCATAGACACTCCCTGTGACCTCTCTCGGACTCATCTCTCCTCACACTCGCGAGAAAAGGAATGTACAGTAGAGAAACGTCCTCGGTGTTTGTACGCCTCACTTTCAGAATGCAACTCTCTTATTTATATTTTAGCCCTTCCCCCACGCTGTCCTCTCGGGCTCTGCAGCCCGGCCACGGGGCTGTTCTCGTCTCACACACTCTTTTTTGTAAGGAAAATTTCAACTCAAAATAATTGCACTGATTTTGACAACCTCCTTTTGTAATTATGTCCGACCCGCATCGCCGTTCTTGTCTGACTGACTGTAAGTAGGAGCCGTGCTTGGCCCTGTGACCGCCCAGTGCCGGGTTCTGGGTGAGAGTGGCGGCTCCTTTTTTGCCGGTGCCGGTGGCCGTGCATGAAGGGCAGCGTCGTCCTTGCCTCGTTCCCGAGGAGCCTGCGGCCTGGGGAAGGGGCGTGTGCTCACGGAGGTCCGCAGGCGTCGTCTAAGAGGGTTCATTGCACGTCCGTGGGTGCTTCTGTGGCTTGTTGGGTTCCTGGTCGTTTGCAGTGACCCCGGGAGCACTTGGCCGAGTGGAGAGCAGGCGTCTGTGTGGCCCGTGTCCGGCGAGAGTGACGCCTCCGGGCTTCTCTCTGGTTGGCCGTCCTGTGAAGCCACAGGTCACTGTTGTGTCGAAACCGTCATAGCTGTGGAGGCCGCGGCCCCGCGCTGTCCTGCCGGCCTGCGGTGTCTGCCAGGGGAGTCCTGTTTGCTCGCACCCCCTCCCGGGTGTGATTCTGTGCGTGGTCAGGCCGCCCGGGAGTCGTCCGCCCAGCCAGTCACCTGGTGCGTGATGCCGTCGTGGGGCCCTCGCCTCGTGCTTTCTGGGTACGTTTTGCCATGTGACTGTCCCCAGTGAATGTATTGGCGTAGCCAACTCACTACAGAAGGTGGTTTCTAAATACCTTTTCGTTTTAAAAAAAGCAAATGCAGATAAAGGCTACCTCTGATTCTCTGAAGGTTCATGTTTGCTCCTAGCCTCGCTGTCCACACTGAAAATAGCCAAACGTCTCCCGGGTAACTGAGTGTGAGCACCTCTGTTCAGTGCTGGCCGAGTGGCCGAGTGGCCGCGTGGTGGGGCTGGCCCACTCCGAGGAAGGACGCACGTCCTGCTTTACCCCCCGGGGGCTGGAAAGGCTCCCGCTGTTCCCTCCTCCTCATCGCCTCTGTGAACTCACCAAGGGCTTGGACCCCGCTTCCCGTCAATCCCACAATTAAAGTGGCCGCGTGGTGTGAGCAGTGCAGGCACGCCGACTGACCTTTGACCCTGAGCCTGGCGCTCCCACCTCTCCCTACTGTAAACCGACCTGAGGTTGAGCGGGTTGTTCTGTTCGAGTCCCAGGCCCCGTGTTTGGAAGGAAGGCGCCCGCGGTGTCGGGATGTGGAACCTCCGATGCCCTGGGTCGTCGCAGGGTCGTTGCAGGAAGCCCGCTCTAGGCGGTGGTCAGGACTGAGTGCCCTCGAGACCAGTCCCTGCCCTCACGGCCGTGGGCCAGGCGCCTCTGCCTCCTCGGTCTTTCCTCGGGGTCCCTTGTGCTCTCGCGCCCTCAGGGCGAGCGATCGCAGAGTCTGAAGGGACAGGCGGCGGCGTTGTCTGGTGTGGAGGACGCCCTGACCTCGGACCAGAGGCTCCGGTGCGTCCGAGTCTCGGTGCCTGGCCTGTTCCGTGGCTGCTTCACGCCTGAGCGAGCTGAGTGTCCTTCGGTCTTTCTCAGGACGATCGCCTGTCCACTCGAGATGCGCGGGGTGCCCGCAGGGGGGCTGGCTGCTGGGTGAGTCTTGTTTTCAGCCGGTGTTTCACAGGTGTTTCGGGGACCCTGCACGGCAGCCCCTGCTCGATCGGTCATGGGGACTGACAGCTCAGATCTGCCCATCAGCCTTTTGTGCCCACGTCTCCAGAATCAGAGCCCCCCCGCATCCCCCCCCCCCAGCCGAGTGCGTTCCTGCAAGTGGTTGACAGCGAGAGAACAAAGACCACTGGTGCTTCTGTTAACACTTTCTCTCTACCTGGGGATGTGAGAGTATTAGACGTGTGAGATCCGGGGGTGCCCTGGGTGGTGGGCCAGGGGTGCAGGCCGCATCTCACCCCACCTTCCCGGGGTGTGGGGGTGCATCAGCGCTGTGCCCCGCCCCTTGGAGCTGAGCGATGCAGAGCTAGAGCTGAAACACCTGTCACTGACTCTTCCCTTGGGACCCCAGCTCCTTCTGAATCTTCAAGGTCCTTCCCACTGCGATCGGACCCCATAAAGAGCCCACACCGCAGACCGGGGTGCA